CCCAATGGAAAACCAGCAGGACTGTACTACTATACAAGAAAGGAGACATCCACGACATTGGCAACTATCGCCCAATCTGCCTATTGTCTGTCATCTACAAACTATTCACTCGAGTCATCCTGAATAGGATTAGCAGAACACTAGATGAAGGACAACCATGTGAACAAGCTGGATTCCGAAAAGGATTCAGTACCATCGACCATATCCACACAATAACCAAGCTCATTGAGGTATCTTCCACCCAGATCCTCCAAATCCCAGTAGGCGGGGGTCACACCCACCACCTGGCCCCCTGGCGCTGTGTAATCCCATCAACGGCCAAGACTCAGAGACTATAAAATCCAGCTCCCGGAACCGCGCAGCCGCAAATCAGGACATCTTTTTATGACATCTTATTATCTCATTCCTACTTTGGACAAACTTGCAGGCTATTGAATGTAGCCTGCCCACAGGGCTGAGTCTGGCAAACTCCCCGTGGCGTACCAAATATGCCAAATACCAGTAACAATGATGGGTCTCATTCTCCTAAAGAGCCTTGAATATAATCTCAGGGCTAGGATGAAAGAGACGTTACTGGGGCCTGCTCGAGGCAATTGACGAATAACAGGATGATAAAATGAAATGAAAAAATGAATTAACTGAATGGGAAAAGCTTCAGAGTAAAGATAGTGAAGGAATGATAGTGACTGTGATGCTCAAGGGAAAAACATAGGTGACAAAGGTGAAAAGCAGTAACAAGGAAATGAATTCACTGGAGGAACAGAAAATTCAAGGATTCTAGAAAAAGGCTCCTGACTCTTCACATAGACACAACAGCACAGTGCTACGAGTAAGACCTGAGCAAGCCGGAGCAAGCTGGGGGCCCCTAGCAAAAAATAAGAAAGAAGTATCAGCCACAAAAATGATGTTTGAGAGCAAAGTGAGACTATGAAAGGTGTCAGTTCCCCCCAATAACTTTAAAAATTCAGGCTAAAGATCTAATATGTAACTTGGTGACTGGAACTGATGACATAACAACATTATCAGAATTTAAATATTCGCACACCACTCCCAAAAGAGGTGATGGGTATGTTTTTTAACTCAGTAAGGAGGGCAGTTTCTTTGACAATGAACCATGTTTCAGACATTATGCTGTTACATTTTTAAGAGCCTACTCTTCTACCTACTAATTATACCTCAACAGTGCTGAAAAATCTCTGTAACAAAACACTCTAACTGAAAAATCGATTGCTGAAACTAGATTTCAACGAACAGTTCAACCAAATAAGTGATCCAGGAAAGAAATAAGTACACGGAGGGTGTGGTGCCTCCAGTAGGTCAACCTGTACGTGTGGGGCGAGTGCGTTAGCGGCCTGATGGTGCCTTCAGGCTTCCTGATACCCCAAAACTGCGTTGTGCCTTTGGCTGGACCCCAACAACTTTGGACCAAATTTACCATGAAATTAAATAGCCAAAGTTAGGCAGGTGGGAGCCACCCCACAAATCACCTCCAGCTCAGCTATACAAGCGCATTTATTGGCCTTATTTCAGAGACCCGTAGATAAATCTCGAAAGAGATCAAAGCTGCAATTGATCTTGGACCCACGCCTGGCTGAACAGGCCGGGGTATATCAGAGTGGGGCAGGTTGGCCTGTGCCCACCCAAGCAGAGCCCCCGGCAGCTGCTTATATACACAATCCAAAATCGCTGCCATCTTATTTGTTCATTGCAGCACTGTTTAAAATGGCCAGAATCTGGAAAAAACCTGAGTGCCGAGAACAGATGACTGGTTAAAGAAACTTTGGTACATTTACACAATGGAGTACTATGTAGCGGTTAGAAAAGATGAAGTCATGAAATTTACATACAAGTGGTACTACACGGAAAGTATCACGTTAAGTGAAATGAGTCAGAGAGAGAGGGATAGACATAGAAAGATTGCATTCATCTGGCAAACATAAAGTAACAAAATAGGACGAGGAGATTAACACCCAAGAGTGGCCGAGATTAGTACCAGGAATTTTGCTCCGTGGCTTGGAGACCAGCCACACATGCTAGGGGAAAAGAGAGCTCAGATAGAGAAGGGAGCACCAAATAAAGGGTGTTGGGAGGATCCTACCAGGATGGGAGAAGCATGCTGAAAGTAGACTATAGACCAAACACGATTGCCACTCAATGCCTCTTTTGCAGACCACAACACCCAAAAGGAGAGAACAAAAGGGAATGACCTGCCACAGAGGCAGGGTGGGATGGAGGGGATGGGGGGTAGGAGGGATATTGGGACCCATGGTGGCGGAAAATGGGCACTGGTGGAGGGATGGGTACTCGATCATTGTATAACTAAAACCCAAGCACAAAAATTTGTAAGTCTACAACTGTACCTTATGGTGTTTCACTAATGAAAAAAAAAATAGTAAAAAGTAAAAAAAAAAAAAATTCACTGCCATACCCTCAGCCTGACTCCACTGTCTCAGGACAGATCTCACCAAGATACAATCTACTGAAAATTCTGGTATGAGAGTTGTTTTTTTTTTTAATTTTGGGGTCACACCCGGCGATGCTCAGGGGTTACTCCTGGCTTTGCACTCAGGAATTACTGCAGGCGGTGCTCAGGGGACCATATGGGATGCTGGGAATCGAACCTGGGTCGGCCACGTGCAAGACAAAAGCCCAACCTGCTGTGCTATCGCTCCAGCCCTGGTATTAAAGTTTTGTGACTGAAATCTCCAGGCTTTCTCGGGGGTCAGGATGGGCTACCTCTCCCCACCTCACTGAATTTCCGGAAGCCTTGGCAGTCACATCCACACCCCAAAGCTGCCACACAATTGAAAAGCTACTCCAGCCTTACCATCTCGATAAAAATACCAAATTCCCTGAACAAACACCATGACCTCCTAGCACCTGTATCGCAAACAATAATGCACAAAAGGTAAAGGAGAGAGAGAGCGAGAAGGAAAGTGCCTCCCATAGAGGGAGGCTGGGAGTCTGTGGAGGTGGAGGATGGTGGTGGGGAAATGGGGGTCACTGATCACTGGTGGAGGGGTGGGTGATAGATCATATCTTTCTCATGGATATCCAATTAAAAAAATTTAAAACAAAGTAATGTGGAGTTCATGTCCAATTCAATCAGCTTAATCAATGATTGAAAAAGTAGCAGTACTCCTATGTTAAAAAAAAAAAAAGGTACACAAAAAAGGCTGATTCAAAAGTGCGAATTTTAGCTGCATGAGGTGGGTCCAGCAAGATAAAACAGCAGGTAGATGGCCGGAGCAATAGCACAGGGGGAGGGCGTTTGCCTTGCAGGCGGCCAACTCGGGTTCGATCCCCGGCATCCCATATAGGTCCCCTGAGCACCGCCAGGAGTGATTCCTGAGTGCAGAGCCAAGAGGAATCCCTGAGCATCGCCAGGTGTGACCCAAAAATCGAAATAAAATAAAATAAAATAAAACATCAGTTAGGGCATCTGCCTTGCATGCAGCTGACCCAGGTTCGATCTCAGGCATCCCATATGGTCTCCTGCATGCAGCTAAGCTAGTTTTGATCTCAAGCATCCCATGTGGTACCCTGAGCACCACCAGGAGTAATTTCTGCAGTGCAGAGGCAGGAATAACATCTGAGAATAGCCAGGTGTGGGCCAAAAACCAAAACCAAAACCAAAAAAAAAAAAAAAAACCCATGAGGTACTATACACACAAGATAAAATGGCTAAAATTACAGCATATACTCACAGAGGCCTGTTGAGAATTTGGCTAACTAGAATACTCATTAACTCCTGGTAAAATGCGTCAATAGCATGAGTACTTTGGAGAACTACCTGCTCAAAGTTAAATAGGAGCTTAGCTCTGTCAATTCACTCTTAGGTATTTACCCAAGAAAATGAAAGTGAACATCAACAGCAAAGACTTGCATTTGAATATTCGGAGCAGTTACATCTGCAATAGCCAAAAAGTGCAAAGGAAACAAATGTCCATCAACAGGTGAGTCGACAAATTACAGTATTTCTGTACAGTGATATTCTTCGCAGCAGTAAAAAGGAACTGATATACACAACAGCATAGTGAAATTCAAAATAACTACACTGAGTGAAAGAAGCCAGGAGTAAGGGCACACACTCTAAGATTCCATCCAGACAAAACTGCAGAAAATGCTAACATCTACAGTGACAGAAAGCAGATCAGCAATTGCGTGATAACACAGTTGGAGGCAGGAAGGAATAACAAGAGTATGAAGAAACTTTTGAGGAAGATGAAATTGTTTACCTTCATTGTACTGATGGTTTCATAAATACATGCATGTCAAAACTCACCAAATTGATGTTTCACATATGTGCTTCTCATGTCAATTGTACCTCAAAAAAAGCTCCTAAAATTATGTGTGTATAAAACTGTGTGTGTACGTGTGTGTATGTGTGTGTGTGTGTATACTTATATCCCACAATATTGCACCTAATGAGTTTTAAATGGGCTATAAAAATGTTCTGCTATTATGGCAAAGAATAAACACTTAATAAATATTAGTTTCAATTACTATTATACAAGGGCTGGAGCAATAGCACAGTAGGTAGGGTGCTTGCCTTGCAAGCGGCCGACCCAGCCGACCCAAGTTTGATTCCTCTGCCCCTCTCGGAGATCCTGGCAATCTACCAAGAGTGCATCTCGCCCGCATGGCAAAGCCTGGCAAGCTACCCGTGACGTATTTGATATGCCAAAAACAGTAACAAGTCTCACAATGGAGACATTACTGGGCCCGCTTGTGCAAATCGATGAACAATGGGAGGACAGTGCTACAGTGCTACTATTATACAACAATTAAAAAACTTAATTGAGAGAACAGGGCCAAAGAGGAAACTCCAAGGACCGGAGCGCACGCTTTGCACGTGGGAGGCCTAGGTTTGATGCCTAGCACAAGATTTTTGAGACCATAGGAAAAAATCTTTGAGCTCCACCAGGTGTGGCTTAAAAACCAAAAGGATAAGTAAACATGAGTAACTAATCCAGAGTTCAAGCACCTAACAGACGTACCTTAGCTTCTTCCTCTTGTGCCTTTTTGACAATTGCCTGTAATTGCACCTCTCGCTTAAATTCAGCATGAAGTAACTTCTCCTCCATCATCCTCCGCCGTTGATCTAGTAATTCTTCCTTCCATTTCCGAACATCCTTCTCCTACAGAGAGACAATTGTCACATCTTGAACTTTAGCATGCAGCATGTCAAGGAGGGGAAATCAAGGCAAACAGCTTATAAACCGTGGGAAGTCTGTAACTCAGAGTTTCGAGAGCTAAAGGAGAAGGACCAGTGATGAACAACAGTGACCAGGCAGCCAGGCTGCTTATATTTGACAAACCACCTCAAAAAAAGTATGCTGCAGAAAAAGTCCTGGTTAAAAACTAAGACTGATCTTTAAAGCCCAAACTCTACAGATCATTGGTCACATGGACTAGCGCTCAGCCTTGCCAAGATTCCGTTTTCACATCTATGAAATGATATTCAATTCTGGGAGAGAGCTCAAAGTGCTGCTTTGCATGCAAAGGTCCAGGCTCCATCGATGGCACGCAGGGTCCCCCCAGCCCCAGCAGAAGGATTTCACATACCCCTCCAGATGCAACCCCACGCACTGAGCCAGGTATGACCTCTACGGGCTATGGGCATGGGAAAAAAAATCAAAAAGGAAGGAAAAAATGCCCAAAAATCAAAAAGAAAAAGATATTCAACAGTTGTCTGTGTGGTACTTCATACAGTTACTGGGGTGGTCATATAAAAAACTACGTATGCTAGGTAAAGAGTGCTGCAATAAACAGAGGGATGGGTATTTGATCATTGTGTAATTGAAACCCAAGCGCAAACATGTGTAAGTCTGCAACTGGACCTCATGATGTCTCACTATTAAAAAAATTTTTAATAAAAAAAAAAGAATACAAGACAAACCTAAAAAAAAAAAACTACATATGCAGTCGGGGCTGGAGTGATAGTACAGTGGGTACGGTGTTTGCCTTGCACACGGCTGACCAGGGTTCGATTCCCAGCATCCCATATGGTCCCAAGGAGTAATTCCTGAGTGCAAAGCCAGGAGTAACCCTTGTGCATCACCAGGTGTGACCCCAAAAGCAAAGCAAAACAAAACAAAACAAATCTATAAACGAAATAATAACCAATAATATAAATGAACTTATGTTAGAATTTTGCCATCAAAATTACTCAGAGGGGTAGCTACATTGATGGGAAAAATAAACCAAAAGTGAGGGAATACTTCCAGAAATATTTTACAAGGCTAACATTACCCTGAACCTAAACGAGGCAAATTCAGCATACGCACAAACCACCAAAATTGCATCAATAACTAAAGAACATGGAGATAAGGGATGCAGCTAAAAGATAGAGCAGAGACATTCCTCGATGAGGCCTGGGTTCCATCCCTGGCAATGCTCCTCTGAACACCCCTAGGGGTGGTCCTGGATGCTCACAAGCATTTCAGTATGTAGCCCCCACAAATAAAACCAAAATTATTCTCAGCAAAACCTTGGGGTGTCAAATTTAGCAATGCAAAAAAAAAATTCATACACTATTAACAAGTAATATTCATTGCATGGATGCAAGGATGCTTTAATATACACCAATCATTAATTTAACATACCACATCGACAAAAGGTAAAAATGCTTAAAAAGCATTTGATAAGATTCAATACCCATTTACAATAAAAATTCATTAAATCTGAAATATAAAAGCTATTACACTAAGATCAGAAACAAGACAAGGATGCCCATTCTTTTCATAACTATTAAAAGAGACTTTGAAAGTCCTACCAAGAGCAATTAGACAGCAAAAAAGATGGGGGAAAAAAAGTCCAAACTGGACAAAAAGAAAATGAAACTATAACTACCTATCAATGACATAATAATACATACTGGGAATTCTAAAAAGTCACCAAAAAATAGAAACTAAAAATAAATAGGAAACAAAAACAATATACAAAAACCCACTACATTTCTGTACACAATGAGTTAGAGGAAGGGAAATTTTAAAATGCTCTCATTTACAATTGCATCAAAAAGGATAATACAACCGGGTGCATTCTTAACAACAAAGGCCGCCAGGGGATCAAAGGAGTGTTCACAGGAGATGGAGAAAAAGGAATGCTTGTACCCAGAGAGGGGCAAGTAAAAGTCTCTATGAAAACAGCATGGAGATCTCTCAAAATATTCAAAACTCATCCGCATTCAGCAGATGTAGACGTAGATTCAGCAATTCCACCAATTGGCACTGAGCAACACTAAAATGGGAGGGTGGGGGGGGGTTGCACACTTGTGTTCACTGCAACACTGCTAACAACAGGCAAGATACAAAAATAACCCAAGTGCCCAGGGACCAGTGAGTGCTATTATACACACGAAGGGACGCTACTCAGCAACTGGGAAAGATCAAAGCTCGCTCTCTGCAACAGGCCTGGAACGGGAGTGGGTCTAAGTGAAAGACCTCGGAAGAGACACAGACCAGATGGTCTCACTCGTGTGTGGGATACGATGAAGCAGAGCTGGGGAGAGAGAAAGGCAAACAAAAGCAAACCCCTGGACTCTGGTGCTGAGCAAAGGAAGAGAGGGACACCTGGGAGAGGAAGTGACGGGCAGCAGAGGAGGCAGGTGGGTACGTGTGGCGACGAACACTCTGGAGAGGCAGGGAGTCGTGTCCTTAAACACAGATAGCTGAAAGTGAAATGACTCAGAAAGAGAGGGACGGACATAGAAGGGCTTCAGTCATTTGTGGAATATAAAGTAACAGAATGGGAGACCAACACCCAAGGAGAGTAGAGATAAGGACCAGGAGGATTGCTCCATGGCTTGGAAGCCAGCCTCATATGCTGAGGGAAAGGCAGCTCAGAAGAAAAGGGACCATTAAGTATAGGGTGTCTGGAAGGCCAGCCCGGGATGGGAGATGTGTACTGAAAGTAGACTACAGACCAAAAATGATGGCCACATAGTACCCGTACTGTAACCGTAACACCCAAAAGGAGAGAGAGAGAGTAAAGGGAATGCTCCTGCCACAGAGGTGTGATGGGGGGCGGGGGGTGCGCGTGGATCAGAGTGGGAGGGATACTGGAAACATGGGTCAGGTGGAGAATGGGCACTGGTGGAAGGATGGGTACTTGATCACTGTATGACTGAAACATAAGCACAGAAGTTTGTAAGTCTGTAACAGTACCTCAAAAAATAATAATAAAAATAATAAAACTTAAAAGAACAAAAAAAATCGTATATAGTGAAGGGGACAGAGCAATAGCACAGCAAGTAGGGCACGTGCCTTGCACATGCGCGCCCCACACACACACACCACCTTATGTTTGATCTCCAGCCTCCCATATGGCCCCCTGAGCCCTGACAGGAGTGATCTGAGTACAAAGCCAGGAGCAAACCTGAGCAATGCTAGAAGTGACCCACCCCTCCACCCCAACCGCCAAGAAAAGTCTTGTAAACTGCTATCTCATAAATGACAAAACTATTTCAATAAAATTTAAAAAACAACAACAACAAAAAAGAAAGAAATGAATCAACAAGCTGGAACTGCAAGAATCTATGCCTACTTGGCAACATACTTTTTCAGCTAATTTACAAATGAAAAGTTCTTTTTCATTTTTCATTTTCATCTTTCTTTTTTTTTAAACAGGTGACCCTCTGTAGTCTGGTAGAGAGAAATCCATTTTTATCCTGAAGAAATTACTTTTTATAATTCTTTCAGATTTTTTCCCCAACAGGAGAAAAAGTCAAAGTTAAAAATAAACCCATCAGGGGCCAGAGGAACAGCACGCAGCCAATCCAGGTTCAATCCCCAGAATCCCATATGGTCCCCTGAGTACCAACATGAGTAATTCCTGAGCACAGAGCCAGGAGTAACTACCAAACATGGCCGCACGTGGTCCCAAACAAACAAACAAACAAAAAACAACCCACTGACTCAAGGCTGCCTGAATTTCCTAAAAACTCACCCTTTCCAACAGTTTCTGAAGCTTTAGCGCTTTCTCTTCACGCAGCTTCTCCCGGAGCTGCTGTGCTTTCATTTGTTTTTCTTCGTGCTTCTTCTTAGATTCTGCAATTGTCCTATTAACACAAACAGATGAGCAGAAGATGCAAATGTTTACGTGATACCGCCAAAACTATTTTCTTTAGTCTTCAAAAGTTTATGAAATAAACATTCAATGTATATAGAACTAACTCTGGCCTCACATCTCAAGAAAACACTGTCACTCTTCAATGGATGTGGAACTTCCTTTAAGAAATGAGCCTCACAGAGGTCACGCGGCAACAATATTTAACAGTCGAGAGGGGCTGATCTCCCTCCTGTGAACCATTTCAAAGTCATTTTCAAAAGTCAGACCTTTTACGAGATGGCGAGGACAGTTTTTCATGCATGTGAATGCCATGTCCTGGAGGTCTAGCTGGTTCCTCCTCTACAATATCTCCCCAAGAAGTATTTTGGCGCCACGATTCACGTGCTGCTTGGGAAAAAAAAAAAATGTAAACCACTATTACTTTTAACCACAGAGGATAAATTCCAACCTTCGTAAACAAACTTGTAAGTGATATCAGCATTCCCACTTCAAAGAACTTATTTGATCAGATGCCCATTTTACACACACACACACACACACACACACACACACACACACACACACACAATACCTTCATAATCTGCAAGGACATCGTTCCAGTCCATAGACATACCACAGAAAGACACAGTGCCACTGCCCACGCCGGCCTGCAAGGCAATAAGGACAATTGAAAGAACAAACATTTGGACACAATTAGAAGTGTAAAAATCGCCTATTTTGAGAAAAATTTATCAGTTGCTACTCAAAATGACATTCAACAGTTTAGAACCAGAAGAAACTCTTCAGGGAGGCTGAGACAGTACGGAGTTCAAGGAGTTTATCTTGCATGCAGCAGACCCAAGTTTAATCCCTGGCATCACATTAGCATTTCCCCCACAAACCCAAGCTCTGCCAGGAGTGGTCCCTCAGCACGCCAGGGCTAATTCCTGAGTACAGAGCCAGGAGTTTTCCCTAAGCACAGCCTGGTGTGGCTCAAATACAGGAGGGGGAAAAAATTAAATATTCCTCTTGGGAGTCACAAAAAAATCTCCAGTTAAGAGGGATGGGTACTGGATCATTGTATAACTGAAACCCAAGCATAAAAATTTGTAAGGCTACAACTGTACCTCATGGTGTTTCACTAATAAAAATTTTAAAAAGTTAAGACACCACAGTTCACTTATGTGAAGAGGAAAACAAACTTTATGTCATTAAAGCAGATATAAATCACATAGCATATTAACCTAACATAGCTGCATAGATCTTAATCCTTCAGACCACATGTCAGAGAGACTTGAGATTATCTACTGATTTTTGTACTTTAACAGAAAAAGAGCTGGACTAATTAGGCTTCGTTTTATTATTTAAGAAGTCCCTTTCATTAGCATAATATTCTGGAAACTTAGTGGCAGTAAGGCTACATATCATTTGGTTTGTGTTACATATCATTTCCTATTAGACTATAGGAAAGTGAAACAGTCAAGTATTCTTCAGTCTTAACAATTACTATCTGAGCCATGTGGAGTGATTACTTTCTTTGAGGTTCAATTTTACGGTGGAATGGGGTAAAAGCCACACACAGCTGGGCTCAGGGCCTGCTCCTGGATCTGGGCTCAGGGATCACTCCTGGCCGTACTCCAAGGTGGCATGTGTGGTGCTGAGCAACGAACCTGCATTGGTGCATATAAGACAAGGTCTATCCTAGTCAGCCCTGAGATTCAATTTCTTGATTCCTATAATGAGAACAACTTCCAAACTGTCAACTGCATTATAGATCAAAACAGTCAAGTGATTATTTTTAACAAGTTAATATTTCCTGTACGTTTGAATCACACTGAAAATATAGATTATGAGGAACATTTTGGAGGGGTGGTTTGGGGGCCACACGCAGCAGTGCTCGGGGAACCATGAAGTGTCGAGGACAAAACCTAGAGTTCCTACATGCAAAGGCTGTTTTCCAACCATGTGAACCTTCTCCCAGCCGAAAGACCTTTTCTTTTTTTCTTTCAAAATGATTTTAAATAGGACAAAATAAATCCTAAGCCCTCTTGTACTTAAGATGTCTTAGGATTTTCTTTTTTTGAACAGCTGCAATTAAAATTCTCAAAGCTCACAGAAAAATCACTGTCGTTGTCAGTTTCGATGTTAATGTCATTGTTTTCTTCCGCTTCAATTTCTCTAGTTAACTGTTCCTCTTCTGCAATCGCACTAGCAATAGCTTCCTCATTGGCCTTCTCGAGACGATCTGCTAACTCTTCTTTCTTAGCGAGAACTTCTGCCATGGACTATAAAGTTTAAAACAAAACAAAACAGAACAAAATAAGAACCATCACTTGACTGAAAGATAAACACTTCTTTCACGCTCCAGTCATAAACCCAACAGGAAATACAAAGGGGCACTGATGTGTAAGCATGAAACCTGGAGGCTCAATATAGGTTGACCCTTTTTGCTTGGCTGTTTGACTTCCGCTTCTCAAAATCTAGAACTTTTCTTGTATTCATAAAGTGGTACAATAATACATCACTTACCTTCCTTACCAGCCTGCTATGTATGAGAAACTGTGAAAGTTATATAAATAACAAGTATTATTCATACTATAAAGTACAATTTCATTTTGGTGCCAAACTTCGAAAGTCAATGATTAATTACATTACAAACAAAGCACTAATTTATGATAGGAACAAAGAAATGCTGTAATGGCCATGCTTTCCAAACATACATAACTTAGTTTAAAATATGTATTGGAAATAATACAAATACTATGCACCAGAGTCGTTGAAAGTCCTGACAATAATCTAAATGTCACTGTAAAGAAGCTAAAGCAGAAATCTGGTTAATAAATTTACCAAGGAAATAAAATGGGACTGTAAAATACAACTGATACAAAAGAAGTGGGAAAGTGAAAAAAGGACAGAAAACAGAAGAGTCAAAGAGAAAACACAAGATGGAAGAACTAAATGCACCATATCTATAATAATACTATATGACAATATCCTAATTGTCTCTACACCTCAAATAACAAAGGTTATCTTGCTGAGCAGAAAGCAAGAGACAAATATCTGCTGCCCATGAGAAACCCAATTTAAATATCAGAATAAAAACATCTTGCAAGTTGCCACACTAATAGGAATCAAAAGAAAACTAAAGTATTAATATCAGACATAAAAGATCTCTGAGCAAAAACAAACAAAAAAGTCAAAAGGAATAAAGATCATTATAAAATAATAGGAAAGTCAATTCACCAAGAAATCAAGACAATCCTTAAATGTTTAAAATTTAGTAACAGAGCTTCATAATACATAAACCAAAGCCTAACAGAGTTGTTAAAAAAAATAAACCTAATGGGAATGCAAAATAGTGTAGCCAATAAGATTTCTCTGAAGTCTATGAAAAGTTAACAGATGATCTACCAACCCCATCTAGATATCAACTAAGAAGAAACAGAATCAAATGAGCACATAGAAACATATATTTAAAGTTTTTAAATTTTACTTAAAACAGCATCAAAGAGGCTTTAGCGATAGCACAGTGGGTAGGGTGTTTGCCTTACACTGGCCAACCCAGGCTCGATTCCCAGCATCCCATGTGGTACCCTGAGCACCACCAGGAGTAATTCCTGAGTGCAGAGCCAGGAGTAACACCTGTACATCGCTGGATGTGACCCAAAAAGCAAATAAATAAATAAATAAGCATCTAAATATTTTATTTTAAACAGCATTACTGATAACAACAAGAAAGTAAAAATAAACATCTAGGGACAGAAAAATGATGAATGGATAAGATATGATCTATCTGTATAGCAAAATATTGGTCATGAAAAGAATGAAGGAGTGATACAGGCTAAAACATGAAAGAACTTCGGAAACCTTTGTGGTGAGTGGAAGACAGTAATGAAAGATGATATACTGTATTCCAACTATCTGAATCTACACAACGGACAAATCTAGAGAGAAAAAAACACAGTGGAGGGCAAGACAAAAGAGAATGGTTGCCAATGGTTATGGGTTTCTTTCCACAGTGATTAGAGAACTCAAAGGCTGATTATGGTACATTTTATGTTGCGTACATTATAAACAAACTTAAAAAAACACAGGTTCTAACAACAAAGGTCTACCCATACATAGATTCTATATTCAGAGAATGAACCAAACTTGGATGCCAGCTGGTTAGAGCCTCAGATGTGGAACCCACCGATACTCTGGGCTTATTTGAAGTTACATGTGAATTTTAGCCTTCACAGACCCAGTGTCCCTAACTCCCACATCATTCCAGGGTCAACTGCAATGTGTCAACAAAGGTGTTAAAAAAAACTGACATAGTTCCACAATTCTATGTGAAGATCTAAATACTCCCAACTAAAAGAACAAATACCAAAAATTACCATGAATATAGAGAGTCTAAGCAATATAACCAACAAAACTGACCTAAGGGTTTTCCCAAGAGAAATGAAAACATATACTCAAAGCAACAAATATTCAGAGGGCTTTTACTCCTCACAGAAAAACTGGAAATAACTCAAACATCTGTCAACAATTGAGAGAAGACATATGCTGTGTTATGTGCATACTACTGATATTCCAAAAAACAATGAAAAGAATTGACTAACAAATGTGCTGAGTGAAAGAAATTAAACAAAGATCACACTACCCCACTTAAACCAAATTATGAGAATGAAAATACAGAGTAACAGAACAGTGAACACTGGGACACAGGAAAGAAAAGCGAGAGATTATGAAAGGGAATGTAAAAAGTTGGGGTGACAAGGATGTTTGATATCTTGAGTACAGGCATGACGGCAAGTCAAAATCTGTCAATTTGTAGGTTTTAGTTGTGTGAAGTTCACTGAAAACCAATTTAACCTAAGGAAAGATATTTGAAAATGCAAGAGCTTGTGCTCTAGCTTATGGATCTGGGGTGAAGTCTAGCATTCATTAATTTTATAATGATCTTCCTTCTAGATACTATGCCACTCCAAAACACACAACCCTCCCCCTTCTCCCGGCCAGGTAATAAAGTGGGCTGGGGTAGTGTAGCAGACTTTTTCTCTCTAAAACCTAGAATATCATAGAAACTCGTATTTGTGAATGTGCCAAATATTAAATTAATATATTTAGGTTTGCAGAAGTTCTCACATGAGTCTACCTCCTCTTTCCCTTTAATTTTCTCCAAGATTATAATACTCTGTTTAGTTACTTTGAATACCTGAAAAGATTTTAACTTAGGGGTAGAGTTTATGGATGAAAGATTAACTCAATTATTCCTTTAAGACTTTTACTATTTTCACACTGTAAACTCAAATAAATATGTGCATACCTAATTGGTTTCCATTTCCATTTTTCTTTACGACTTGAAATTTTGGCAATTATTTTTAAAAATCCATATAGCTAGCTGGCGATAGCACAGCGGGTAGGGCGTCTGCCTTGCACGCAGCCAACATGGCCGACCCAAGTTCGATTCCTCCGCCCCTCTCGGAGAGCCCGGCAAGCTACCGAGAGTATTCAATATGCCAGACACAGTAACAACAAAGTCTCCAATGGAGACGTTACTGGGCCCGCTCGAGCAAATCGATGATCAACGGGAGGGCCTTTACTTTAGGGCTGGAGCGATAGCACAGCGGGTAGGGCGTTCGCCTTACAAGTGGCCAGCATGGCCGACCTGAGTTCGATTCCTCCGCCCCTCTCGGAGAGCCCGGCAAGCTACCGAGAGTATTCGATATGCCAGACACAGTAACAACAAAGTCTCCAATGGAGACGTTACTGGGCCCGCTCGAGCAAATCGACGATCAACGGGAGGGCCTTTACTTTACTTTACATATAGCTAGGTTTTTGGATCAACCTACTTTGTTTTACAATGTTGACAAAAACGAACCTTACACAGAAAAAATTCTTGCAATCTTTTTGTGCTACACATCCGTTAAATAAGAGAATTGCACTTTACCCAGCTCTGTGGCAATGCTATATCCAAGAAAAAGTTCTCCTTTTAAAAGTTCTCCTTTTTATGCTTATCAGAACAACCCAATCACGTAAGTATCTTCGCCAAGACAAAACAGAGAAAAAAATATTTAAATACTGGTTTCAAAAACATGATTTTTAAATTCTTTGGGAAACATGGTGTTTACCAACAGAAAGGGGGCAGGAGATGAGAAGAATGGAGGGGGGCACATCTGAGTGTTAATGACACTGATACAGGGTATCTTATATGCATGATGAGGATTACACAACCACAAAAATGTAAGAACATTGTCAACCAAAGGCCCATCAATAAAATGCTTTAAAAACAAATCTTGCTCAACTTAAATTTTCTTTAAAACAGGGACCAGAGTGATAATACAGCAGACAGGGCATTTGCATTGCACGAGGCCGACCCGGGTTCAATCCCCAGCATCCCATAGGGTCCCCCGAGCACCACCAGGAATAATTCCTGAGTGCAGTCAGGAGCAAACCCAGAAACCACACATCGCTGGGTGTGACCCCCCCAAAAAAAAATTTTGTTTTCTTTAAAATATCTAAGACTAGGGACTGGAATGATAGTACAGTGGGTTGGGCATTTGCCTTGCACGTGGCCAACCCGGGTTTGATTCATAGCATCCCATTGGTGCCCCGAGCACTGCCAGAAGTAATTCCTGAGTGCAAAGCCAGGAGTAACCCCTGTGCATCGCTGGGTGTGACCCAAAAGGCCAAAAAATAAACAAATAAATAAAAACAAATTTTTTAAAAATCTAAGACTATACTAACACTCATTGTAACTTCTACATATGTGAAATTGATTCCAAAAGAACCAAGGGTTTTGAATATTGCACCTAATATGTGATCAAGGATAAAATGAATTTTTTAAACTTTTGTTCTTCAGATGACTGGTTAAAGAAACTTTGGTACATTTACACAATGGAATACTATGTAGCTGTTAGAAAAGACGAAGTCACGAAATTTACATACAAGTGGTACTACATGGAAAGTATCATGTTAAGCGAAATGACTCAGAAAAAAAGGGATAGACATAGAAAGATTGCATTCATCTGGGGAACATAAAGTAACAAAATAGGAGACTAACACCCAAGAGTGGCCGAGATTAGTACCAGGAATTTTACTCCATGGCTTGGAGGCCAACCACACGTTAGGGGAAAAGGGAGCTCAGATAGAGAAGGGAACACCAAATAAAGGTTTGGGGAGGATCCTCCCAGGATGGGAGAAGCATGCTGAAAGCAGACTATAGACCAAACATGATTGTCAGCCATTGCCTCTTTTGCAAACCACAACACCCACAAGGAGATAGAGAGAACAAAAG